TGAATTGTTTTTAATGAAGCTAGTGTTTCAATTCTGGAATGAGGCTTATAAAAACTTTTCTTGTTAATTGAGCTCTGATACAGCCAGAAAAATAGATAACTGCACTCTATTTTGAGCCTACAATAAAAATTTGCTTCTATAGTTTAATGAAATTAGATGTTTGCCAACAGATACTTGCTAGTAGTAAACAATAATATGTGCATGAGTACCACTCCAGATCACTATTAGTAGTTTTATTCTTATAAGCTGTATCCTGTGATAATTGGATGGACATTTTTCTTGGTGTTGGGAAATTAATAGTAAGGAAATAATGGAGTCAGGTTCTAAAAAGTTGCATCTCAATATTGTGAAAGTGAATAAATTGTTTCTTTTCTGTTAAACACTGGTTGTGTTTTCAATAGTCACTTTTCAGAATATTCCCAACTCAGTCTAATGCTAGATACTTGTTGGTTTTTTGGTTCTGTCCTAAATTGGACATATGTAAATCAGATATATCTTAGGTGCATTAGTTTACCTACAGAAGAGTTAGGACATGATCCTAAGTTCTTTTCACAGAAATTCTTGGAAAGAAGGTTTGGGGGGGAGGGTTGCAGAATTTGCTGTGTTGATGAAACTTAAACTGTGACAGATCTCTTTGAAATCCTTTCAGAACAGCTTTTTTAGTTAAAGCTTAGATTTAGTGCACAGTGAAAGCAAATTGCATACTGCTCAAAAGAAAAACTATAGGTTACATTTAGGTGATACTTAGATTCAGTGGAGCACAAACTTTATTCTCTGTTCTGTTACTTTTACATTATTTTTTATTCAAAAAAAAAAGTTTCAGTGGTCCTTTGAAGTAATTATTTATTTCCCCTGAAAAGAGGAAACTGAGACTCACGCGGAGTCATTTCCCCAGACTATATGTCTGTTATATGACAGAACCCAGCAACTTGAAACACCAAAGAAATGTGTTACTAATTATTATTGTCCATCTTTAAAAAAGAGATTTACATCATTATTTTCCTGTTTTTCACCCTTATTAACGGTCTCTCAGTTGCTAAACTATAAATCTCTAGGATTTTGAAGAGTTGCAATTTGTGACTTTTCATATGAATAGTAGTTTACTAAACATATTTTTGAGCATCTGTTTGGGTCAGGACCTGTGCTGAGTCATAGGAATTAGAACAAAGCCAGCTAACAAATTTTCCTGCCTTTATGGAGCTTCTTTATAGTATAGGGAGATGGAAAATAAACTTACTTCATCTCTAAAGATAAAATAAAAGCAGTTAACATTTACTGACTTTTTCAAGGCTACATTCTCAGTGTTTCATACAGGTTGGTTGATTTAATCTGCACCTGGTTGATTTTTCTTCCTATCCTACAGAGGCAACTCTGTTTTACAGTTTTTTTGTTTTGTTTTTTGGATTTTTGTTTTTATGTTTTTGTTTTTGCAGTGCCAGGGCCTCACACATGCCAGGCAGGTGCTTTACACTAAGCTACATTCCCCTTCTTCTTAAGTGTTTTTCATAAAGTACTATAATTCAAAGTGATGAACCTGGGATTTTAACTAAGGTTTTCTATTGCTAGAGTTAGTGCTCTTAAAGACATACACAAACACCTTTTTTTTTTTTTTGTATAAGAAGAACTCACGTTAAATAAAAGGAGGAACTCTTGGCACTTACGTGAACTATGACAAATGTTTTGGAATTTCCCCATTGGTGTCTTGTATTGCTTTTCTGATTGGTTGTTAGAAAAGGAATTATATTACAAATGAGTGCTGGAAAAGCTGCCTGTGCTGCACAAACCTGGCTTTGATAAAGCGAATTCTGTTTCTGGTTTTTTTTTTTTAATTTATTTAACAAATTCAAACATATGTAGGTGAATACATGTAGTAGCTAAGTAGCCAAGGAGTCGACTATACCATTTTCAATATATTACCTCTTAGCTCTGAGTGAACCCTTTTTCGTACTATGTAGAAGTGGACCTGGGTCCTTTAAATAGTTCTCTTTTGTCAGTTGGCACAGTATTAAACTTTGTTGATAGACAGCACTGGAGGGACATTTGCAGAAAGAAAGGGGTTTTTCTTCATGGTTACAGTGTGCTCTCAAAAAGTCTTTTCAACACAAATACCCTCACCAGTGCCTGCCTGACTTTTGCACTACATAGTGGTCGGCAGCAGTCAGCAGTTTTCGTTAGCACCCTCCACACCCCTCAGCTTTGTCCTCCAGAGAAGTACCTTCCATTAAAAATTTTCCCCAGCACCCCTGGATGGAGGATTTCCAGCACTCACTGGGGCAACTTCTCTGCCATTCATTGATCCATAGCTATGCCGTTGGACAAGGTCTTTATCTTAGTCTCAAGAGGGATGGAGGAGCTCTGTCTCAGCCATAGGTGGAGTGGAATCTTCTTATATTTGTCATTCCTGTAATCTTTGTAGCTCTTTTCTTTCTTATTAACCAATCCCTCATTATTCCAGTATCCTCTAACAGTTATTTTCTATAAACTTTCCAAGTTCAAATTATTGTATGTCTCCTGATTGGATTTCTAATTTTATCATGTATATTCAATTGCTTTTTCTTCAGCAACCTCTTCGTACAAAAGAAGCGTGTTTTTTCCCTATGAAACTTCATTACTGTTGCTATAAATAGCAAGCTTATTTTTATGTTTTTTTTTTACTGATGATACTTTTTAAGTTTTGAAAGTTGAGTTTTTATTACAAAGTGACTGGATCAGAGACTTGCCTCCTAATTTATTTGTTCATTCATTGATGATACTTTATTAAGCCCATGCTTTATTCCAGGCTTTGTGCTGTGGAGTGGAAGAACAATAGTGAACATGACAAATAGATTTTGTGCTCTCTAAAGGATATAGAATTAATAAGGCTAAGTAATAATTTGGATATGAAGTGAAAATGAAGAATAATGTATTTTTCTTGGTGTTTGTGATTAGGCAATAGTTCAATTTGTTTTGGTTTTATAAATTAATGACTAGTAATTGGAGAGATACAGACTTCAGCAACTGTAAATAAATGGAACTGATTAGCTGCCTGAGTGTGTCAAAAGGAAATGAAAGAAAAAGTGATACAAGAAAAAATAAGATTATTATTCTTTTCCTGTCATACTGGAGGTTAACCTAGAGAATCACATATGCTAAGTGAATGCTCTACCACTGACCTACATCCCAGTCCTTTAGTGTATTTTGAGACAAGGTCTCACTAAGTTGTGCAAGCTGGCCTTCAATTTATCAGCCTCTTGCCTCAGCCTCTGAAGTAGCTGGGATTACAGGCATATGCCACACTACACCAGCAATGAGAAGCATTTTGTGATAAAATAGTATTTATTGGTAAACTCAAGCCTAAATAATAACTTAGAATTTCATCAAAACATTATAACTATATAATGTTTTTCATCAAAACATTATAACTATATAGTTATTTTGGTTTATTTGCGTAAGTGTAGGAATGCCGTGACATAGATATTCTAAAAGAAAATTTTTACTAAGCAATAAACTTTCGATGATTCCCATGCAGCAAAGAATTAGAATGAGGAAACTTTATTATATTTGTCCATGATAACAATATCTCCTAGTATACATTTTTTATTTTAAGGTTATGTGGAGTATTTGTTTTGAAGGACATTATAACACTTTCTAGCTACAAATTTATGTTTTGCATAGAATCTTGTGCCATCTTGGTAATGATAAGAACAGGCTGGGATGATTAGAGCCTAAGAATGTTATGAATTTGATTTAGTATTAGGATGAAAGTATCTATGAATAATTAGCCCCTATCAATAGAAATAACTAGTTTGTCACCAATGAGTTGGTACCTTTATCTTTGAGCCCATTACACAATTAGGTCTTAATTTTATAGTTCTTATTGTAACCTACATTCTAAATCTTAGATTTAGGAATTTGTTAAAAATAGCCATTGATGTTTTAGTGTAAAAACTCACACATACAAAATTCAAATAGAAATTAGTTTTGGGAGGGGACAAAAGGAGATGTTGATAATGAATCTGACTTTTAAGTAGGTATAAAGCTGGGGTGAGGAGATGAAGATACTGTGGATCATGAATTCTTCATTGGAATAGTCCTCCAAAGGGTCTTTGACAGTTCTACAGAGTCTCTGGCTCCTTGGAGATTTTCTAAGTTCTGCATGTTTGATTGGAATTTATTCCTTTTTCTTTTTGAAGTATTTTAACCATTATTTTAAACCTCATGTATTCGATTATTTTGCTTATATCGCTCTGATTGATTTTAGAAATCTGTTCGAATTTTTGTGTATAGGAATTTGCCAAGTTTGTAAAATTAGATAGGCAGGAGAGAGAGAGTGTCTCTAGATGGAGAGCCATGTTGGCAAAGTTAAATGATTGGAAGTCTATGAGACATTCTGGGGACCGAGTAGATTAGTTAACCAAAAATTTAGTAAAGAGGTCAAAAAAAGAATTAAGAGATTTGGCTAAGACTTTAACTATTCTTTGTTATATTTATTTTTTACTGTGTTTATCTGTTGATCTAACCTCTATTCACTTGTCTACTTTATCTTTCATCAAAGTACATAGGCCAAAGGGTATGTAAACTCCAAGGTTTCAGATTTGGGGTATTTCTCCTCCTTTTGTCCATAGCCTTCTCATTTTACCTGCACTACCCTATCAATCAGCTAAGTAACCCTTTGCCTACTAGGGCTTCTAGTCATTCCTATCCTTGTAGGGTAACACTGAATTTCTTTCCCTACCTACATTCTGTGGCTTGCTGATTTATTAAATTTTCATCACCATCTCTTAACACTCTGTTATTTTCCACCATGTGAGACATGGATTCTCACCCTGTATCATCTACCATACTTTTTCTCCCCAGGATGGCTTAATTTGTCTGCTCTACTAACAGTTAAAATAGCTTGTATCTGTCTTCATCTCAGGTTGTGGTGTCTAATTTCAGCCTTTTGATTCTCTAGTTCATTCTGTATAATGACTTAAAAATTGATACATCTTGAACTGTTAACTCCGTCCTTTCCTTGGCAGGCAACCGACTTGTGTTACAAGAAGATGAGATTCTTCTGGTATGAGTCTCTTCTGCCATCTGCATTATCTCAGTATCTCTTGAGTTTTTGCAGAGTGGTTTGTTCTGAGCAGTTTTACCTTGCTTATCACATTCAGCATGGGGCCAGGTATGACAAAAAATATTTCTTCAGGTTTTTTTTTTTTTTTTTGGTCTAGTTAGTCCTACCTAATAGCTTGGAAAGGCAATAGGTTCCGGTGGTGAAATAAGTTGCAGGGGCATGGCTAAGATAAGGAGATCACTTTTTAAAATACCTATACCAAAACCAAATGAGCATTTTTTAACTTTAAAGGGATCGTTTTAAGAGGCTGGATAGTTTATCCACTGATATATCCTACTGTTATTCAGTGTATCTTTTGAAACTTCTTTTAGAATTTCTTTGGAGACAAATTTTTAAATCCATTCATATTATTCAAAGACTATGCCACACTTAAACAATAAAAAAATAATACTTGTTTTAGGTCCCTTTTCCCTTATAACCAAGATGATATCAAGTGACCTTCTCTTTAAAATCAAAAGATTAAAAGAGTTTCAATATTGAGAATATTTAGAATGGTGTACTTCAGGGTCTAAAAACAATTATGAAAGAAAAGTAACAATTTTTTGGAAAAAAAAAGATAACATGATTAAACAATTGTCTAATTTCCCTTCAATGATTGCATACACACACACTCACACACACTTATTTCATATTTACAGTTACATATCACAGATTCTTGCATATATTTTTATTGTTTATTTTTGGGTTTGCCCCATTAATTTTGTATTGTTTTTAGGGTACCATTTATTTACTGCTTATCGTAAATGTGTTTTCTTCCAGACAGTTGGTGAATCTATCCATATTTTGTTCTGTAGCTAATACGTTGGGGTATTAGAAAATGTATTCCTAGAACATAAAGAACTAAACTGATATTTTGAGACTCCTCTGATTAAAAAACATTATTCAGGTGGGAGACTTTCTAGTTGTATTAATTGTCTAGAGGTGCTTATATTTATAGAAGTGAAGAATAGCTATGTCATGAAAGGAAGATGCTTAATTTGGAGACACAGAAATACACACAACTGAGAGGCAGAACTACCATATAATTTAAAAACTTGCCGGGGAAAAAAGGTACCCTATCCAGAGAACTCCATTGTCTGCCCCTAATGCAGGCATGGCCTTGCTGTAAAAATGGATTAATTGATCATCATAGCCCATAACACTCCCTTATTTGGGGTTCCGTGTTCTCCAAATAATCTTTTGGTTTTAATTCAGCTGTATTATATGCTTTTCCTCAGGGAGACATAGTTATTAGTGCTTTATTTTGAAAATGTTAAAATAACAAAACCAGAAAACTCAGTAGGGACAAGTTTTGGGAGGGAGTGGATAGAGAAGTTGGTGATGAGTGTGGCTTGTAGCTGTGTTAGGCTAGGGTAAGGAGATAGCATTTGTTAGGTAGTTTTGTTTTGTTTTTGAGATGGGGGTCTTGTTATGTTGCCTAGTCTTGTATCAAACATATGATCTTCCTGCCTCAGCCTCTAAGTAGCTGGGATTGCAGGTATGTGCCACCACAATAGGCTTATCAGGCAGTTTTAAACATTTAGTTTTATTATATGTTACTCATTTGGCGTTCTTATTTATATATTATTCACATCTATGAGTTGCCTTCTCTGAATCTGTCTACTGTGGAATAGTAACAGGATTGAGTTTGTTGACCTGGAAGGCCCAAGGCGGCCATACTTTAGGCAAATTGTCCAGAGGAATATGAACTACTAAGATCTCTTAACTTTCCTAAGTGTCTTCTATATATTATTAACCCTTCACTTTTAACAAGTATTACCTTTGTAATTGAGTCTACTCTCAGTTCCTTCACCCTCATTGTCTCTGAACATAAAATAGTCTAGGCCCTGATTCTTAAGAACCTATATAAGGGGACAGTACTCATGTCACACTTGAGGACCCAGTGGTTCTAAGCTGTGTGCTCTTTAGAGAAATAGGTAACTGGATAAAATGTGATGTATTAAATTTTTTTATTTAATTGGTTTTCCTATTTTTATGTAACATGAGTATTGAAATAGCACTAGGAATCCCCCTCTATGGTAAATGGCAACTATTTGTTGCTATTTGAATTGTAAAGATCCCCTTATTCTGAGGTGTTAAAATTATCAGTTTATTATTTATAGAATGAATTTTAATTGATTCAGCATTTATTAAATGCCTACCTTGTGCCAGGAAGAATTATAGTCATGAGGAATACATGGAATATAAGATGATTAATAAGTATTCTGTATAGTTGAAGGGTACCTCATTAAGCCAAGATTAGTGAACATGTAAATAATTATAAGTGCAATGTTAGAAGTATTATTTAAAAATAAAGCAGGAGAAAGTGATTCTTCATGGAAAACTAGAAACTTAAAAGATTAGTAGGAATTCCTCAAATGGAAAATTAGAGTAATCCTAGCATAGAGAGAACCCAAGAACAGCAGTAAAACTTTATTTGCTATGAACATATATGCAGAATAGGAGGGTGCTTGAAATTTGGTGTTGATAGCTGATAGAGTAGTAAGAAAAAACTGAAGCCTAGTAAGTTTTCACTGTCTTAATTTATAAGCCTGAAAACTTGTACCTTTTCTCTTTGTCAAAAATAGAGTCATGACGAAAATGGAGAGTGGAATTTTCAGCTCTGTTTTGCAGAAAAATTACTCTGGAAACAATGGGAAGATAAATTAGAGATAACACTACTTAGGGAGGGTTTTAAAGTGAGAGATGGGGATGATTTCATCTAGGGCAGTGGGAAGGAGACAGGTTGAGGATATATTTTTTGATAAGGAATCAATAGAATTTAGTGACAGATGTTGGGATTGAGGAAAAGACTAAACGTACAGGGCATCTGAATTAATTGTAGCACCATTAAGCAATTTAGTTAGACAGATGTAAAACAGGTTCAAATAGTGGGTTTTGGACATGGGAAATGGTATTGTGTGTGTTGGCTCAGGTAGAGTATAGTTGAAGAGAAATTTGGGAACATAGGTTAGGAATTGTCTCTTGATGATTGTCAGCATTGTATACTGTTTTAATTGTTATACAACCCTGAAGGATATGTAGTATTTCCCCTATTTTACAATAAAGAAACTTAGAATCAGAGAAATAGTTGTTCAAATAATTCCCATGAATTTTTCCATATACTTCCATTACCTGTTGGGATTAAAACAAACTACTCCTAATTTTGTGACTTAAACCAGTGATTTATTATTATTATTTATGTTTCTGAGAATGAGTGACCTCAACTAGAAAGCTCTTGACTTGGGGATTCTTATTTGGTTGTAATCAGAGGCATCTGGAACTATAGAGTCATCTCAAGGTTCAACCATACTCAGTGTACAAATTTGCTTCTTTAATTCATGTGTCTGACATCTCAGCTGGAATGGCTGGAAGAACTGGTGAGGGGAGATCACTGCTGGGGGCTGGCTGGTTATCTCTCTTAATAAGGTCTCACCAAGTGATTAGCCTGATGTTCTTCACTCAACTGCACATTAGTCTTCGGATTGTTATATAGTGTGTGGCTTGGTGGGGGAGGGAGTTGTCTAAAACAGCCAGGTAGCAACTGAAAGGATTTTGATGATCTAGGCCCAGAAGTCATACAGTATCACTTATGCTGCATTCTGTGGATCAAATTGAGTCCCAGGGCCAGTTCAGCTTCTAGAAGAGGAGATAGCCAGGGGCATGACTATCCAGGGACTATCACCCATCTTTGGAGATTAGCTTCCTCCACACACTTTGCTTCTTTGGCAATTATTTATAGATAGCCTGAAAATAGATGAAACTAAGTTGCCTTGCTAGCTTATAAAGAGGGTAGAAGAAGGGATCCTGGGAACATGAATGTTTGAAAGAAGACTCAAAGAAGAGAAGCCAATAAGAAACGGGGAGAGAGGACAGCTGTCAAGAGATCAGAAGAAAAGTTAAGAGAGTGATGCCATAGAAACCAACCAGGGGAAGTGGATACTCTCACCATAGCTTCAGGTCCTTAGATTTGGTGTTATAACAGTTTTGTGGTTTCAGTGTACGTATAATTTATAATTACTCATCTTTTGTTTTTCTTTCCATTCACCCCAATTCTCATATACATACTCAATTGAAGCCTAAAGTTTCACAGATAGAACTTCTAATGTGAAACACTTATAACTTAAATCATTTGTAAATTGTCATGATTACATTTGGAATACTTTACTGAGAATAGACTTCCATAGGAGTAGGAGGAACACACAGTGCTTCTGGCTTCCCAGGGAGGATGTTGGAAAGATGAGAGGTTTCAGTAGAATGAGGAGGATAAGGAAAGTGAGCCACTTCTGCTGGTCTTGGTGGGACCTTTTTTTGCGTTCCAAAAAAGGTATATAGTGCTATGCACTGAAATATACCATAGAAAAAAAGAAGGGTGAAATAGTGTGTGCATGTTGAAATCAGTGGTGTTTTCTTTATTTCAGAGCACAAAGTTATCATTGTTGGATTGGATAATGCAGGAAAAACTACCATCCTTTACCAATTGTAAGTACTACCTTAAAAGATTATTTTGTAATTTCTAGTTAACTTTTTCTTCCTGGGTGATATTCTATTAATGAATATAATGAAAAAACTGTATGGAATCTAAGTTACTCAGTAAGAAAAGAGATTGTCCATAAATCAGAAGCCAAATTTAAGTAAGTTTTTATAGAAAGCTAGATATTTATATGACATCGAGTGCATTATTTAGTTGTTTTGCACTAAAGCTCTTTTGCTTATAGAAAGTAGAAAAATATTTGTTTATATAGTTTCTTTTAATGATCTATAATAGTCTAGATTATCTCTTGTCTATTTCCAGCCCTATAAATCATTAGCTTTCTCTTGGTATGAACTGGTGGAAAAAGGGTATTTGGGGAGAAAATGTAAAAGTTCATGCTGCTTTGTCCCTTGCTTAGAAAATTATTCAAACAAGGTAGCCTCTTTACTAATTGTAATATATATGAACTTTTTTTCCCCTAGTTCTATGAATGAAGTTGTACATACATCCCCTACAATAGGAAGTAATGTAGAAGAGATAGTGATTAATAATACACGTTTCCTAATGTGGGATATTGGTGGCCAAGAGTCTCTTCGTTCTTCCTGGAATACTTATTATACTAACACGGAGGTAATATTTCTTAATATGCTTAAACTTCTATAAAGAGAATGCTTGAGAAACACTTAGACTTGAATTCTTGTAGTTATAAAGATATAATGACTTTATCTTCCAGTTTGTAATTTCATTTCTTTCTTACTATTTATATTTGGTTAAGTATTGGAAATCCTAGTTAAATGAGAGGGCTTTGGTGGTTTAATCTTAACCAATTTTATTGTGCATTTTCTTTTTCTTTTTTTTTTGCATTAAAATATTTTTTATTTTTTTATTGGTTGTTCAAAACATTACAAAGCTCTTGACATATCATATTTCATACATTAGATTCAAGTGAGTTATGAACTCCCATTTTTACCCC